ATATGTTAAACTTAACTGTCGCTGCTCAACTCAACTATCATCTCAACTCCAACTCTCTCTTTGACACATTTCAATCTGGTTTCCGTTCCTACCACAGCACTGAAACAGCACTGCTCAAAGTCACCAACGACCTCCTCCTCACCTCAGATTCTGGCTCCCTCTCCATCCTGCTACTCCTTGACCTCTCCCCCGCCTTTGACACTATTTACCACTCCATCCTCCTCCACTGTCTCCAGTTCACCACTGGCACCCCCGGCACTGCACTCTCCTGGTTTTCATCCTACCTCTCCAACAGATCTCACTACATCGCAATCAACAACTGCTCATCCCGCTGCATCCCGGTCACCCACGGAGTACCTCAAGGCTTGGTGCTTGGTCCCCTCCTTTTCATTCTTTACATGCTCCCCCTTGGCCACATCATCACGGTTTCAAATTCCACAGCTATGCAGACGACACTCAACTTTACCTCTCAGCCAAATCCATAACCCCTGCCACCTTCTACTCCATCAGAAACTGCATATCCGCAATAAAATCCTGGATTTTTATTTCCTCAAACTCAACTGCAAAAAATCTGAAATTATTATTATCGGCCCGAAGTCCCTCCACTCCAATACCCAGCATTTCACACTCTCCATCAACAGCCACACCATCTCACCGTCTGGTCAGATCAGAAACCTCGGAATCATCTTTGACCCCACCCTTTCTTATAAGCCCCAAATCCGCAACATCACCAAGACTGCCTTCTTTCATCTTAAAAACATAGCCCGTCTTTGCCCATATCTGTCCTTCACCGCCGCTGAAGCCCTGATCCACGCTTTCACATCCTCCAGACTCGACTTCTGCAACAGTCTTTTATACGGCCTTCCTTCATCTGATCTCCAAAAACTTGGGCGGCACGGTGGCCGAGTGGATAGCACTCTCGCCTCTCAGCAAGAAGGTCCTGGGTTCGAATCCCGGCCGGACAAGGGCCTTTCTGAGTGGAGTTTGCATGTTCTCCCCGTGTCTGCGTAGGTTTCCTCCGGGTACTCCGGTTTCCCCTACCACTAAAAATATGTACAATAGGTCTGGCATGCGCCTCCTGTTCGGCGACCCCGCTTTCATCTCTCTGTGGAGTGGGAGACAAGTGCCCAAAAATAACAATTGTAAACCGCTTTGTGACTCTGGTCTGTGAAAGGCGGTATATAAATAAAGCTTACTTACTTCCTTACTTACTAACTGCAATATGTCCAAACTCCGCCGCCCGCCTCATCACTCAGACCCGCTCCAGAGAACACATCACCCTGGCCCTGTCCTTCATAAACTCCACTGGCTCCCCATCAAACAGCGCATCCTTTTCAAAATCCTCCTCAAAATCCTCAATTCTTTCCTGTACATTTTTTAGCTTGTTTTAATTATTTTCTTGTCACATTTGGGACGTTTTCACATGTATTCCAATGTGGTTTTACTGCAAATGATAAATGAACTGAATCTGAATCTGAAGTCACAAACTAGGACTTTTCTTTGGCTCATGGTCCAAACAAGTTATAAAAAAGTAAAAAATATAGAGGGCATATATAATAATAATAATAATAATAATAATAAAATGGTTTTATATAGCGCTTATTTGGACACTCAAAGATGCTTTACATGTCATTATTCATTCACTCCATTCTCGGTGGTGATAAACTACAACTGTAGCCACAGCTGCCCTGGGGCACACTGATAGAAGCAAGGCAACCAGTAGCCATCGGCCCCTCCCACCACCACCAACCATTCACACACACACCAGACTCATTCTAATGGGGGTGAAGTGTCTTGCCTAGGACACAATAGCACTTTGGCACTTTACAGCCGCAGCCGCCCCACTGTGGCACCTGGTGTTCCCAGAGGTTAAGTGCCTTGCCCAAGGACACAACGACAGCAGACATCAGTGGGAGTCGGTGGAGAAAGTCTTGTGGTGGGGACGAACCCACGACTTTCACGCTCAAAGGCCAATGCTCTACCAACTGAGCCACTGTCGCCCCGACGATTATGTATACATAATCGAAATAGATTCTAATATATAAATACACACAATAGACATTTCACAGTGCAGATTATTTATAAGTGACCAGAGGAATGATAACATAAATAAGTGACAGTATTTATATGGTGCTGTTCAAAAGAATACTATAAAACAGTAAAGGAGCATTTCTTGTCTGTTTCTTGTCTGTGTCTGGTCTGTCTATATCTGGTCTGTCAGATATTCTTGTTTGTCCATCTGCTTTTGTCTTGTCTTTTTGTTGATTGATGTCTGTATGATTTTTGTTGCTTGCAGAGGACATTTTTTTTGGCTGTAGTTGGGGCATCTATTTTTTGTTTTGAATTGTCATTGCCATCTGCCATGAGTTGTCAGACCTTGAAATAATACAAATATAAAAAAATATAAACAACATTATAGAAGAGTAAAGGAACATTTATTTGTAATGTAATCTGCAATGACACACATCTCACCCTCTCTCCATCCTTTCCTTCCCCCCAGAGTCCTTCAATATTGCGTGAGTAGTTCGCAGCTATGTTGTGTGCCATGCATTCAGAAACCATGCATTAGTATAACGCTGCAACAACACCAGTAAACACCAGCACAGACAGGCATTTCCCCCATGGTATTCTCACTTCTGTGCAATGCAGAGAGCTCCTGCTATGGCTGCTGTCAAAAACAAACACGACCAAGCCCCACGTCCCCTTCACAAGCACCAACCCCGGAGCTGCCCGCATCCACCGGGAGCTAACGTGTGGAGCTAACGTGTGGAGCTAACGTGTGGAGCTAACGTGTGGAGCTAACGTGTGGAGCTAACGTGTAGCATGTGTGGTTAGCATGAGCTGTCAGTGTGTGTGTGTGTATGGGTTACCTTTGCAGTCCGGGGCGGTCCCAGGGAGGTCTCAGGTCTCACAGGTCTCTCTCCCTCGGACCAGAATCTCCCCGTTACCGCTGTGGCTTGTTCTGCGCTGTGGACTCAGGGCAAAGCTGACAACGCCATTTTGCATTAGCGCCACCGTGCGTCCAGGAGGGGAAGTGACAGCTGCAGCATCATGACCACAGACTGATAATAAAGACTTTATTCGTCCCACAGTGGGGACATTTCAGTGTAATCGTTGCGCACTTTACAGCAGAATAAAAGAAGGAAATAAGACTGCACAAATCAAACAGGATCTATTATTTAGGATAATAGATAATAAAACTAAAATAATATATAAAATAATAAATATATAAAATAGAATGACTTGACAGTCTACATTATTTTATTTTTCCTATTTGTGTGCTTCTCATTCCTACCTTTCTGTAACTGGTGATGCAACTGACATTTCCCCACTGTGGGACGAATAAAGGATCTCTTAATCTTAATCTTAATAAACTCATTCCAGACATTATTAGCCTCATTTCCACCAGCCCAAATTTATTGGCAGAGTTTCCACCAGCCCTGTTTAACCGGTGCCAGGTACTGATGTTATAGAACCTGCTTGTTTCTGTTCTATTGCATACATATTCAATTTAATTCCATTTACATTTGTAGCCCTAAATCACAACAGTAGTTATCGTACAGAATTTGCTCAAGTTCTCAATTCGCCAAGACAGATTATAGAAAAAAAAGAATGTTGCGAACTACATTTACGCCAACAGCTGTGAAGCACCTTAACAGCACGTAGCACTTTAAACAAGCTATTGCACTTTACAGCCCATTTGCACGGAAACTAGCTTCGTGACATCCTCTCTTTGTTCTTGTATCGTCAATATTATTGAGATTTTACTGTGTCTGCCTGTTTTTAGATGATTTCTTGCTGCAAAACTCATTTACCCTCAAGGGACAATAAAGATAACTTTGAACTTTGAGAATCAAACAGATCAAACACAGGAAATGCAACAATAAAAAAATACATAGGTCCATAAGAGGCGGACGACCTATGTCCATAAATGTTGCTAAATGTCCACTCCACCCGTTCCCGGTCTTAACCCCCCGGATAAGACTGGACTTGAGGGAATGGGGGGAGTCTGGCTTGCTCCTGCTTGGTTGGAGTGAAAACCTCAAGCCACACCAGTTTGACATCCCTGCTATGGGGTTTTGCATCCTGTTTGTTTGTGCATCTGTTCCTCAGGAAGTTGTGATGCTCTTTTTTCCTTAATATTAGGAATAAACACTGACATTTTCACCACCATTTTCACCACTGGCTATATCACTGCATTTCCTGTTTTAACTGCTTGATTCTCTGATCTGCTTTGACGAATTGACAGCTTTACGTCCTCCAAAATAACTCCTGTTATGATTTATGGCTATTTAAAAAATAATTGCTTTGAACTGAAGATCTGTTACTATGAAAAGACATTTGATACTGTCTTAAATGATCGTAATACATACTCATAATATAGAGGTATTTTTTTCTGTATTTTCTGTATTCTGTAATAATATTTGTCATGCATTTTTTAAAAGGTTTGTCTTGAAATGTGTATAGCGTGTGTATACTGATTTATATTTTGAATGAATAACAAATAAATAGGTTACAGAACAACATAGAAATAAACAGTAGGAATAAGCACAATAACTTTATGCTAAAAAGAATCAATGACATAAAACGTTAGCTTTAGCATAATAAAGAAGCAAAAATGAAGTATTAAGATGTCCATAAATGTGGTTGAATAAATGTCTTGTATCATCTGCACTGTCCTGGGATTCTCAGAGGTCTTTAAATCACGAGGTGCGAGTTTAAAACAAACTAAAGTAAACTTGTAACTTCAGGTCAGACATTTCAATTCCTGGATGGAGTTAATCCCACGTCCCAAACCGGATTTCTAAATAAAGACACTGACCAGGCCAAAAAAACACAACAACACCGGATTGAGGAAATTGACAAGGGGCAAAAACAGGCTCAAAACAAAGTTGTTGGATGCGGATGACCTATAGGGGTAAAAACCTGGACGCGCGTCTGACCGCTTCACTCCAAGTCTCTGTCTCATCCAGGCTGCGTTCGAAACCCAAACCCCAGCGATGTCTTGGCTCCTCATCACCACCACGGTCCTCTCCTCACTCATGGTGCGCGATGCCGAAACGTGGGGTGTGAACGTCAAGTACGCGGTGAACTGCCCGGACAGATGCAACCCGTCGGTGTGCGGAGCTCCGAGCTGCAGCCGGACCGTCCTGGATGACTGCGGGTGTTGCATGGTGTGCGCTGCGGGGAGAGGCGAGCACTGCTACCGCACCGTGTCGGGGATGCACGGGGTGAAGTGTGGACCGGGATTTTTCTGCGAGTTCTACAAGGATGAGGACGACTACGGAGACGAGTACGGGGTCTGCAAAGGTGCGTGCAGTTTCTCGTTCTTCTGCAGTGCTGGGGGTATAGAGAGAGCTCTGTATAGCAGTATAGCAGTGGTTCCCGACCTTTTTATAGAGCCGTGGCACACCATTTTCATTTAAAACAATCACATGGCACACGCTGAATCTGAAACTGCAGCTTTTATTGACAATGCAGAGTCATTCTCATCAAACTCTATCTTTAGCATAATAAAGAAGCCAGAATTAAGTATTAAGATGTCCATAAATATGGTTTAATGTGTAGTCAGCAATATTCTCGGACGTCTTTATGTTACGAGGTTCAGGTTTAAAACAAACTAAAGTAAACTTCAGGTCAGACTTTTCAATTGGATCGAGTTGATCCCAAGCACAAACAAGTCTTTCTAATAATTATTAACATTATTATCTATTCACGCTATTGTCGCATGTGGGAAAAAGGTTTTGTGGATCCGGTTTGAAAAGACCAAGCGAGTTAAAATAATGGTTTCTAATAAATCCATTAAAACAATAAAAACCTAAGCTAAAAATGCGGCACACCAAGCAACATGTCAAGGCACACAAACGTACCACGGCCCCTTTAAAGTACCAGTGTTTCCTTACCCCAAAAAACCATGTGGATCTCTGAAACACATCGGAAAGAATCACATGGGGCTGAAACGCTGCAGTCTTCATGAACAAAGCAAAGTCAGTCTCATCAAAGTGTAGTATATAGAAAATCAGACAAGATATTATTTTGAGCAATCGGGTGATATTGGATCACATTAAAAGGCACACCAAACATTCAGTTCATTTTATCTTTTTGTATATCCCAAAATCACAACAGTAGTTACCTCGAAGGACTTTACAAAGCCGTCGATTTGCCAACACAGATCAGAGAATCAAACACAAACAAATCAATAATCACAAAACAAACAAGAAATGCAATGATTAAAAACACATAGAGTCATTGGTCCCCCTTGTGCTGTCCCCGGGTCAATATGACGCAGATACCATAAATTAGGGTCTAAAAGGGTCTAAATCCCTGGGTTATTTAGATCCTGATTTAGGGTATTTTTCTCTTACTCTTTCCTTCTATAAGTTTGGAAAAATCATCAAAATTCAGCTCGAAAATGTTTTTATCTAGGGCATCTTTAGATCACAGTGGTGGGTCAATTTGATAATAGCACAAGGGTTAAGCGGTGGAGGACCAAGTTCCATAATAATGTCAAGGGCCCTGGGTCATCACCGCTGTCCTTAGACCCATGTGCAATAATAACACCTCTGCACTAACACTAACAGAATATAAACTTTATTTTCATTTTATTGTCTACAACAGAGGTCTCCAAACGTTTTTTCCACAGAGAACTACTTTTTCAGGACAGAAATGAGCTGAACCTTTGAGTTAGTCCTGACTTGGATTGCGTTATGGGTATTAATTTAACTAATCTAAAGGCATGGGAGACATTTTTCATTTTGGGGAGATTCTTTATGATTTCTAAACATTTTGGTGAGCAACTCAGAAGGAGGTTGCCAGCTCTGTGTGGAGTGAGAGACAATTGTTAAGCGCTTTGTGACTTTTTGAAGGGTGCTATATAAAGAAAGATATAAGCCATGGTCTGCATCTGAGGTGAAGGCTGTGGAGAAGACCATGACACCTTTCATACAGACTGGAAAAGTCCCTGGGAAGTCTCACTGCCTGGCCTGGCCTGGCCTGGCCTGCATTAATGCAGGCCAGGTCGGAAATGTATGGACATCGATTTCCAAGATGGCTGCTGTGCTGATGTGGTGGTGTCACTTAGCTCCAGAATCTTAACTATATCAAGGAAATAAGACCGCATCTACCTCATATAAAGTAATCCCTTATGAACTGAACAAACAAGGATTTTGGATGTGCAAGTATTTTGAGTCTCTGTGGCATATCTTGGACATTTGTGCTCAACAGCAGACACTGAAGAAATTGATGCAATGGCTAATAAGAAACTGGCTGAAGACATTGAAGAAATTAAGAAGGCTCTGGGCTTCATGTCACAGGAAATAACTCAAGTGGCAACCGAACAAAGAGGCCTAAAGGAATTGCTGGAGGAAATTAAACAACTGAAAAAAGAGGCACAAGAATTGATGACTTAGAGCAGTACTCAAGGATGGACGACCTGTTGATATCAGGGCTTGAAATAAAACGATCTTATGCACAGGCAGCAGCCCGTGGTGGGGGAGAGGAAAATCTTCTAAATCCTGCTTCAAGTCCTGAACTATCAACGCTTGAACAACAGGTAATCAAGTTCTTTGACAGCAATGGCATTGCAATAGACAGTAAGAACATTGTTGCTTGCCATACTTTGCCCCAGAGAGACCGCAAAACGTCAAATATCCTGATTCGCTTTGACAATAGGAAGCACAAAATGGAGGTGCTTAGGAATGGCAGAAAATTAAAGGGCACAGGTGTTTATGTGAATGAGCACCTAACTAAGAGAAATGCTACAATTGCAAGAGAAGCAAGGATTCTGAGGAAAGAAAAGAAGATTCAAGACACCTGGACAAGAAACTGCAGAGTTCTGATCAAGCTGAACGGACATCCAGAAGAAGCTAAAGTGATCACTGTTAAGGATATAACAGAGCTGGACCAATATAAATGACTGAATATTGCCATGGATTACCCAGATTGAAAGAAAGGGAATGCAATGAAAGACAACAAATTGGATTTACAACACAACTAGATGGACCCACCTCAACTTCAAACGCAGTAAGAGCAGATTCTGGTTATTCTGATTATGAAAATCTGCAATTTAAAACGTTTGATTATACAGAGTATAAACCACAAGATATGCAAAATGATCTTGATCCAGAGAACAATTTTTATACAAAAATACTGAACAGTTGTGAATACTTTACTGAAGACCATTTTGAGGCCCAAATGACTCTAAGTGATTCATTGTCCATAATACATTTCAACTGCAGGAGTCTTAATTCAAATTTTTCCAAGATCTTAGACTGTCTGGAACAAACAAAAAATAAATTCTCTGCAATAGCTATTTCAGAGACATGGCTTGGCTGTGAAGAGCAATCTTGTTTGTTCAAAATAGAAGGATATAATGCATTCTACAAAAGTAGAAATTGTCAAAAAGGCGGAGGAGTTGCATTGTATATTTTTTTTTTTTTGTAATTAAACTTTTTATTTTGTTTTCCAACTTTAACAATATAAACAACATAAGCATCAGACATACAGATCTCAGCAGCATCTCTAAATATTCCTTGGGCGCAAGGTATACAAAATAAAGATACCCATATATACATATGAGCCATACCTATATATACAAAAAGTGGCTTTCCATTGTTCAAATTTTATTCAAAAATTCGCCCCCAAGATTTCGCAAAAATATCAGAATCGTCATTTAGCCTGGCCAATAGTTTTTCATGTGAAACCACTCTTTGTATATTGTCCATCCATTTTCTAATATCTGGAGGAGAGGGGTTCTTCCAGACACAAAGAATCACCCGAGCGGCTGCTATAACCCCACCCTTCAAAACAATATATTCACACTTGGTTATTCCGGGCATAACCGATTGATCCCCGAGTAAACATAGTCTGGGTGACCTTGGTATTGTTTTACCAATCCACTCCTCTATACAATCCAGCAACTTTTTCCCAAAATGGGAAGACTTTGTGACATTCCCATATGGCGTGTATAAATGTCCCTGTATCTATCTGACATTTCCAGCACTTGTCATTTGCCATAATCCCCATCCTTTTAAGTTTCGTAGGTGTGAGATACCACCTATGTATTAATTTATATTGTGTGAATTTCCCTCTCGCCTCTTTTATAAATCTTCCCGAGTGTAAGAGTATTTTGTCCCATTTTTCTATATCAATATCACATCCCAAATCTCTTTGCCAAATTACTCTCAGATTTTCACACATATTTTTTCTTAGATTATTAAATATTTTATAAAAAAGAGCCGCTCTGTGGGTTCCCTCAGATCAGATTCTTTTATTTTTTTTATAAAATATTTAATAATCTAAGAAAAAATATGTTGGTGAAAAACTGAGAGTCAATTTGGCAAAGAATTTGGAGGGATTGATATGATATAGAAAAATGGGACAAAATATTCCTGCCTCTTACTCTCGGCAGAATTTATAAAAAGTCGAGAGGAAATTCACACAATTAAATTAATTACCTAGGTGGTAATCTCACACCTACAAAACTTAAAAGGATGGGATTATGGCAAATGACAAGTGCTGGAAAATGTAGAGTAATACAGGAACATTTATACCCGACATCTGGGGAATCGTCACAAAAGTCTTCCCTATTTGGGAAAAAGTGCTGGATTGTAGAGAGGAGTGGATTGTAAAACAATACCACGGTCCCCAGACCTATGTTTACTCGGGGATCAAATCGTTAAGCCCGAATAAACCAGTGTGAATATATTGTTTTGAAGGGTGGTTATAGCAGCCGCTCGGTGGTGATTCTTTGTGTCTCTGAAAGAACCCCTCTCCTCCAGATATTAAAAAGGGATGGACAATATACAAAGAGTGTTTCAACATGAAAAACTATTGCCAGGCTAAATGACGATCTGGATATTTTTGCGAAATCTTGGGGGCGAAATTTTTGAATCAAATTTGAACCATGTGTAAAGCCACTTTTTGTATATATAGGTATGGCTCATATTATATATGGGTATCTTATTTTGGTATACCTTGCGCCCAAGAATAATTTAGCTATGCTGCTGAGATCTGTATGTCCAGATGCTTAGGTTTGTTTATATTGTTAAAGTTGGAAAAAACAAAATAAAAAAAGTTTTATTAACAAAAAAAAAAAAGTAACAATGCAACTCCTCCCCTTTTTGACAATTTCTACGAGGTAAAGTTGAGTGTCGTCTGCATAGCTGTGGAATTTGAAACCGTGATGATGTGGCCAAGGGGGAGCATGTAAAGAATGAAAAGGAGGGGACCAAGCACCAAGCCTTGAGGTACTCCGTGGGTGACCGGGATGCAGCGGGATGAGCAGTTGTTGATTGCGATGTAGTGAGATCTGTTGGAGAGGTAGGATGAAAACCAGGAGAGTGCAGTGCCGGGGGTGCCAGTGGTGAACTGGAGACAGTGGAGGAGGATGGAGTGGTAAATAGTGTCAAAGGCGGGGGAGAGGTCAAGGAGTAGCAGGATGGAGAGGGAGCCAGAATCTGAGGTGAGGAGGAGGTCGTTGGTGACTTTGAGCAGTGCTGTTTCAGTGCTGTGGTAGGAACGGAAACCAGATTGAAATGTGTCAAAGAGAGAGTTGGAGTTGAGATGATAGTTGAGTTGAGCAGCGACAGTTAAGTTTAACATATACTACAGGGTGGGTGTATATAAGATTCTTTAGTTTTGTCTTTATTTGACAGTGGACAGAAACATTACGCTATTCTGCACCAGATTGTAGCTACATAGGTCGTTTCCATCTGCAGTTCCTGGTCACATGGAAAACAATTCACTGACATGTCATCAAATTACAACAATGGGAACGTACAACAGCAGAAAGCCCTCTCACATCCACTGACCAACACACACACATGCACACGCACACGTATACACACACACACACACACACACACACACACACACACACACACACACACACACACACACACACACACACACACACATACACGTTTTTGTTACCTGGTGGGTCCCTTTGACAGGGCCGTTCAGAATGGGACCCATAGACATAATCTTTTTTTACTGGGACTACTTTAAGTAATACAAAACAGTCAATAGAAACCAAACAACCATTTTAAAGGAATTTTATTTTAGATTTTTTTTTCGAATTGCAGTGATTCTATTTTTGACATAGAATTTAATGCCACTCCATGTTCGATGTCTAAGGTCATCTGGTGAGGCATTAATGCAGGCCAGGCAGTGAGACTTCCCAGGGACCTTTCCAGTCTGTATGAAAGGTGTCATGGTCTTCTCCACAGCCTTCACCTCAGATGCAGACCATGGCTTTCTTACACGTTCTAGGGAGAGAAATAAAAATATATTAGCAATATACACTCCCAGGGTTAGGACCAAGCAGCCTGGCTGTAATCCCCCACCTGGTACACTTACCAGAAGGGGCACTGCCACTACCATGGGGTGCATCTGGATGAATGGTTGAAGGTTCTCCGCTTGAAGTTTCTTTTAGCCCGTCCGTTTGTGAGAGGATCTCTACTGCTCTCCCTGTCGCACAGAAAATAAAAATACAAGTGGCCTTTAGGGGAAAAAAATCATACATATTTTAATAATATCAAGAATTACCTTCAGGCTCAATTTGTATCTGGTCGAGGCTCTTTCCTTCGAATTCCGTCACTCTTCCCTGCTCCATGGCCATCAACACTTTGCTGATTTTGGCCAGCTCCAGTGTCCCCTCTGGTAGTCTGTAATATTGCCTGTGGATGCGAATGTCATGGCCGAGGAAGTTGGCAAGTATGTCCATCTCATTCTCTTTCATATTGAGAACTGTAGACATAGTAGCTATGTGCTTTCTAAGTTTGGTTGAGGATAGCATCTCTGGATGCACCGCACCACATTCTTTGGCTACCTGGCGTAGGGAGTCTGATCCCCTGATGTGGGTGTCTGCGCCCGGGCGGGAAAAGAAGTATGGGTTATGGTCAGAGATGGAACAGGCCCTTCTGTTCTCCACCAGCACCTCCATCGAAGCAATCATTTCAGGAGTCAAAAGAACCGGCACTTTCCGACTTCTTTTCCCTTTAATTTCAATGCGTTGAAAATGCTACACAGCTTTTTCTCAAGTTGGGACAGTCCCAGAGCAATGTCAGAATGGATCCCAGTCTTACTTCTTAAGGTAAAGGCTGTCAGTGGCATCTTTGAAACCTCACCTTCCCTTCTTCGATTGAAAATAATGACCTCACAAAGAGTCAAAACTGCCAGTTTAGACCAATGCTTAGACGTTGGCTCACTTATTAGGGTTTGCACATATTCAGGTCGACATACCTCAATATGTGCATGCATGGCTCTAACGTCCTCAGTCAGAGGGAGCAGGTCCGGAGTGTTCCACTTGGCTTGCCGGAGGGTCTGTAGGGCAGCAGAAGAAACACAGACGTCCCACCTCTTCTCAAAAAGCAGCCGGCTTCGTTGGAGGTTTTTAATAAATAGTTCA